AATTATCGTGTCGTGCTATCCACACAACCACATTCAGGACTTAATGCTCAGCAACATGAGGATTACAATGAACCAAAACGATTCTGGAGAAAAACGATGTTTTTTTTAAACTACATAAAACTGATTCATGCGACATGGCACTGTCACTGCATACATATTCCTTAGGTCTTATTAGTGGCCTGAAACCTCAGTTTGAATCCTGATTCCTTCTGATAACATTTGTCCCCTGAGAAAAAGTGTGAAAATCCCTCATGTAGCTTATTATCTCTCATCTGTATGGAGTTGTTTTCCTCATGTCTGTATAGGTTTCCTCTGGGTGTCCTCATTTCATCCCACACTCCAGTTACATGCAGTTCCAGAGGATGGAAGCTCAGGAGTGTTAGCCCTGTGATAGACCAGCAACCTACACAGAACCTCTTGTCCAATGTATGCTAAAATTGGCTGCAACTATTATTTGTTTTTGTTATTTAAGAGTCATATGTTGATTCAAATGTTGCTACACTGATTGGTGCATAAAAATAATGTACATTGTGATATTACTCCCCCCCCAACTGAGCGCCGTCTGCTTAAACTTACTGAGACAGAATGGACAAAGACAAACACTGGTGTTGCTCATGTGAACCAAACAAAAATCTTCTAATATTGGTAGAAAATGTTAGGTTCATGTTGGACCTCACTGCTCCTAGTAAGAGGCTGAATGATTTTATCCTTTAAGCTTCTTCCTGAGATTTCAGCTGTTACACTAAAAATGATTTAATAAGTAAATGCTGTAAGTAGCATTCTCCCTTTCACCAAGCACAGAAACACTTTCTCTAGCTTGGTCTCATGTGAAAAACAAGCTGGGAATGTGCAGCAACCAGAGCCAAGGGCCAAAATACAACAGTTAAGCAAAGGCCAAATAATAATTGTTAGACATCAATTATTTAGATATGGAACAAGTGGCATTTTAGGTTTCCTGTCATCACAAAGCTTATTAAAATGCTGTGTTTAAAATTCTCAACTCTAAATAACCCCTGAACCTCAATTATACTCTATAAACCTGGGATAAATACAGTGCTACATCAGCCTGAACTGTTCTCTAACAATGTGATGATTTAATTTGAATTATGACCTCTCTGAACACAGAAGTTGTTTGTCACAGTAGGAGCCTTTAGAAACAAAAGCAAGCATCCCTCGCCGACCTACAGCTGCTTTGGTCTGGTAGGAAAACAAGAAATCTTGTCTACTCTCAGCACTTCAAACTAATGCCACTGATCCGGTTTGCATTTATTACCTATCAATATTTATGTGTTAGCAAGCAGCATCCTAAATTCAGTGTTGAATAAGACATGCTTGTGTATTGATCCTCCTGCAGAAAGTCTTTAATGGAATAACTAAACTGATGACCTCAGGTAAATGAGTTCATGTAAATTAATGCTCACAGACATGCACTACATTTAAAATACAGCAATCAGAGTCAATATGTTCATTTTCCTCATTTTTCTCATCTGTTTACTGGTATTATACTTTAAATGTATTTCATTTAGACTGTCAAAATGCTTACTGAGTGTCACCTCATACTGTGAAAGCCACACACCTCTCAGTCACCATGGCTGTATTGATGAACTGATGTATTGAAAAGACTGAATAAAAATAAATGATGTGTGAATGGATTGGAAAACATCATCTCTCTCCACCCATTTTGTTTGGCAGTAGTGGCTGTAAGTATGTGAAAGAGAGAGAGATGAATGAAAGACAACTTTGATCTAGCATGAATCTACCTATTTCTATTCACTGTCACTCTCTCTCTCTCTCTCTCATCTTTCTCCTCCATCTGTTACTATAACTGAATGAGCCTGGCTGCAAAAGCTGGAGGCTCCAAGTTTCACTTTGAATTCTGTCTGCCTATAAAGTCCAAGATGGCTTCATTTAAACCAAGTACTTTATTAGAAAGAAAGTGGACAAAAAGACAAGCCAGACAGGAGGGATGGAGAGAATGGATTTACTTGGAGAGTCTGACTTGTTCCTGAACTCAGGCCCCAGAACTGCTTACCTTCACAGGCTTTTTTCTGTTTGCATTCAGCACTGTCAGTAGGAACCCTGAAGCGATGTAACACTTAAGTGGCCAACTGTTAGTGATTAGCCAACAAGCTCACAATAGTTAACACACAGCAATGTTGCATTACTGGTAAGTATTTTCTTTATAAGTTGCTACTGTTAATTATATAAGGAGCCACTAATGCTCTGCAGAGGCATCCATTGGTGGACTACAGCTCTCCATGCTGCTGGTGATGGCTATAGATCACTATGGTTTACAAGGCTAACACAGTTTTTAAAAAATGGCACTTGGTGGTGCTGCAGTAAATGTACATATACATCACTCATGGTTCCTATTGTGCTTGGAGAGTACCTACCCCGAGGAGCTTAAAAAAAGTCTCCCAAAACGCCATTCAAGGAACTATTATCGTTCTCAGTTCCTGTGGTCTGGACACACAAAAAATGGAGGTTCTAAGAACTATGAAAAAGTTCTTCTATTTTACCAAATATATTCCAAACTGACAGCTTGTTAACCCCAACCACTAAACAGCCATCATTCTTTCAGAGCTTAGAACCTGATAGTACGAAAGTCTGGAATGGAAAATCACCCTAAACCCAAACAGGATTTTCTTCATAGACCACAATGATAAAAGAGACATCTGTAAAACTGTTGACAGGACATCTCAAACTGCAAACCAATTATCCTATCACTCTTTGTTTTATGCATTTTTAATCCATAAAGGTTTTATATGTTACTTTACTAGACCCTAGAAAAAGGACTGTTATGCCATCCAAATGAAAAGTCTAAAGTGAATGTAAAATCTAAAGTAAACTCTATTTTCAGTGAGTAGAATGGTGGCCATCTTGTAATCTGGTATCCAGCTCTTATCATACGCTCAATGATTTCTTCCAAGCTCCCAGGAACAGTGCTGGGCTGTGAGGCAAATTTTGTATAATTGCCAAACTGTGTTAATACAACTTTTACATTCATCATGTGACACACAATGGCCCAAAAAGCATTTTCCCATAGAAAATCACTGGGAAATGAGTGGTTTACATGTACATGTGTACAACTGTATGCATGACTGTACTTACAGCTATCCTCTTCTTCAGAAATAAGCTTGACCACATAGCAGGCGTAGATAAACCCCATCAACTAGAGACAAAGAGAGCAGCAGAAACAGAACAAGATTATCTTTGTAGAATGAACAGTCAGACAGACAGACAGATAAATATAGAGAAATGGAGAGATAGATAGATAACAAACAAACTACAAAAACAGGTGTTGGTGTAAGTGGAGCAGAACAGCACTGTGCTATTTTGCTCCAAAATAGAGCACTTGAATCAATGGACACACACACACACACACACACACACACACACAAACACATACATACACATTGAATGTCTGGCATCTTCAATGACAACCTCAAGGTTAGTGCAAACTCTCATGATTTCCGAGCTGTACTGACACTGTTATAATACACACCTTCAACCCTTGTAACTATTAAAATAAGAATGGGCACAACTGTCTCTCTATTATGGTGCTATAGCTGAGATTGTGATCACTGAAATTGAACTTTCAGCTGCCGCTATTGCTTTTGTATTACAGTGTCAAGGTAGATAGTTCCATATTGGTCACTATCATCCAAGTGAAAACCTGACACCGCCACCTACTCTGATAGCGCTTTGTTGTGTTGGACTTGTAACCAGCTGAAGAGGTGAACCTCACATTGTTCTGCCTGCTGGTCTCACATCTGTTACAAGCCATTCACAAACCTGAAAACAATAGCGGCTGTAGACTTAACAATAAAAATGTGGGCTACAGTGCTGTATTTTTGTGTGCTGTGATTATAGTGTTTAGATAGTGATACAGCAGTTCACACTAGCTGAACACCTTCGCTCTCTGATCTGCTGTCTTATTGGCTGTCTGTTTCCAAGGTGACTGATAGGAGGCAGGTGATTGGAGAGAAGGTGCAGAAAAGGTGAGGTTAGTGTAGGGTCATCATTTATGTGCCCCTATTACCCTGCAATTATAGAGGAGAAATGAAAGACAGAAAAGAAACATGGGAAGAGGGGAAGATAAGACAGATGGTGATGGATGTATATGTGTTTTTATGAGGCATTAAACTAATGCATTGCCCTGAATAAAGAGGCTTTATTGCTCAAATATGGCTTTAAGTGTAGGACAAATGACATTGACCTGCTTGGTATTCTATTGACCATACTGACACACACACACAGCCATACACAAGCACGTAAACACACAGTGAGCTGCAAATGTGAGCAACTACATTTGAGATTCAGTGTATATCTCAAGGTCTTGACCTCATTTAGTCTAAATAAGGCTCAACTCCCAAAGCTCCTCTCTCCTCCCTCCTAACTCTGTCTCTCACTCTTTATTTCCTTCCAGCTTTGTGCTTCTCTTCTTTTCTCTCTCCCTCCCTCCAACTTTTCTTTATCTCTCCTCCCTTCCCTTTCCTTTTCTCCTCTACAGTCTCTGACAAGTCCATCAGTCATAGACATACAGTGTTTTACTCACTGGTGGAGGGATTTACTTTGAGCTGAGCCAAATACCAACAGACAACGATGTCAATATCAGCATGGGGATCAAATGTGATGAGAAAATCAATTTGGACAATGTATGTAGTAGGATTCTTGTAGCTGAAAATTATCACTAGTCAAAGACAGAGATCAGCTTCCCTGCTATAAAATCTCAGCTTTGACAGCAGTTTATCAGAATACCTTTATTTTCAAAGATTAAGATATCCTGAAGCCTCAGACAGCCTCTCCTGTCCAGCCCAGCTTAAATGATTTTTAAGTGTTACACAGTGCAAACGTTGTTTGAAAGACTTTCAGGAGTTTGGGGACTTTTCTGTCACATGGGGTAAAAAGCTGATCCCAAGCACCTTTTGTTTTCTGCAGGCTCATTGCCTCTGAAAATGACTTTTGGGTGCACTTTTGTTTGTACCAATGAACAGAGTGCAGGGAGTCGTGCTGAGCTGTGACAAAGTACGTTTCTCTGCACATCAATATCCTGTTAATATTCTGGATCTCAAGTATTGCACTTTGGTATTGCTGCATGTAAACATAATATCCTGTTTATAATAAGCCTGATTATATCTTCTCCAGATGTAAAGAAATCCATATAAGATAGCCCGGGTGCACGAATATTGACTCTGACGTGTATGCTCCTTATGTTCATTGTTGGAGTTCTGGGTCTGAGACAGTTTGATGTCTGCAGTTATATTTGGCCTGTCTTGTTCAGGAGCTCTCAAAAGTGTACTGGAGCTGTATTTGGAGTTTTGCAGAGCTGAAAAGTTACACAAAACTCATTATAAATCTACTTAAATGTCCAGGAACAAATGTTGTTATGACTAAGATTTAGATCAATTATTTTCAATTTTCTATTGCTGCTAATTGAAATGAGAAAGGAAGTATAGGGAGGCAAAAATTTTACTGAGGTTTATGCCAGGGAAAAATGAAGCTGTGATGATGAGTTGGTTATCTCATCTGCTTTCAGAGATTACATTGCAGCTTCAGTGGCATAATTGATCACACTTTGACAAATTCAGGTCCATGGATGACTTCATTTCCTATGAAACATGTTTATAAGTACTTTTTAAAGACACTTCAGCTTCAGTCAGTGCTTACAATTTAATGAACATATACACTTAAACTTTATTTTAACACTTTCAACTTCTTTCAACTGAAATAGAAATACCACCACTTCAGCAAAGACTCAGACAGGATCGCTGGCCTGACTGGTCTGACAAGTAACAACTGGTACAACCTAACCACTCCACCTCACAGAAGCACACACCTCATTCAGAGCAGAAACCATTTTTATGGCGTTTTATGTGCACGGTGTTACACACTAACCAGGAGGCAGGAAAGCAGTCTTTATCCTATTTCTTAAACAATGCACATCAGTACTGTTGCCATGGTAAACACAGTAAATGTGGTTAGTTATGCAACAGTAAGTCAGTAACACCTTGTGGCATTATCTTAAGAGAAGGCGAGAGTAATGGTATGGGTAATACACTGAATAATGTAACAAGATTTTGCCTTTCCAATTTACATTTTGCTATTTCAAAGCAGAGTAGAATGTTTTGAACAAAACAAAAAACCCCTGCAATGATACTGACTGCAAAGTGGGTTTCCTGCACTGCAGATACACCCTCTGCTTTCACAATGTCTTCCCAGTTTGGGCCATTTAATACCAAAGAATATTGCTAAATTTTCAATCTCAACCTCTTACGGTTATTTATTGCTTCTTTGGAAAATTTGATTATGACTTCTTTTTGGCTTTAGTATCAATTTTGTCTGAGTCAACAGTAATTAAATGAATTGAGTTAATAAAATGAAAATGAAAAGGGTGTTGCCTTGGGTAGCACTGTCACCTCATAGCAAGGCTGTCCTGGATTCAAACCTGCCAGCTAGCTGGGACCTCAACAGTCTCTAAGTCATTTCTGTAAATTGCCCCTAGGTGTGCTTGTTAGTGTGGATGCTTGCAGCCCTTTAATAGGCCGGCAACTAGTCCAGGGTGTTTCTACTGACTCTTGCTCAGTAGGTATGCATGGATAGGCTTGGACTCCAAGCGCCCCACATTGAAAAAAAAAAAAAAAAGGAAAAAAAAAAAAAAAAAGCAAAGAGTCTCCAGCCATACTAGCAGCTAATAAGTGCCAAGAGAAATGTCCTAATATTTAGCAGGCATAACGTTTACCAGCTTGGTTTAATACCTGTTAACTGTCAGGGTCGGCGCGTAAAGCTGCCGGTGATATCACGGGGTGAACTCAGTTATAGACCCATACGAGGATAAGTGAAACACTGTCTATTTAATAAGAGCACTGGTAACAAAACAATACAGAAAACTATGTAAACTCGAAACATACTCTCAGGTCGATAATACAGTCCAGGGTCAGAGCCAGCAAACTTACACAGCCAAGGGATCCACAAACAAGAGGTCAGAGAGGGGAGTCCAATAGTCCATACACAGAAAAACACGAGCAGAAACAGAGGGTTAGGCAAAACTCGGTGGTCAAACAGAAATCCAGGGTCAGAGCTGGAATCACAGGAACAGGTAAAATGCTGGAAAGTCTGAACAGTAGTTAGAACGATCTGGCAGCCAGCTTTCCGGGGGGGGAAAGCTGCCTATAACGGGGTGAAAACAGGTATAAACAATAATCACTGATTAAAGTAAAAAGTCCGGAACTGAGGTGAAACTGAAACAGGAAGAAATGAGTGTCTGAACTAAATTTCATGGCAATCTATCAAATTCTTTCTATTATTTCTATCAAAACCACCAATATTAACTTCACTGTGATGCTAGAGAAAATGTCAGGGGGTCACCAAAGTTGTCATGATTCTTCCTCTGGGAACCCTGAAAATTTGTACTACCATCTGTGTCAATACTTCTTGTATATGTAGAGACAGAAGAAAGATTTTGACATGCTGGTTGCACTAGAGGAAACCGCCGGGGAACCACTAATGTCAATAGCCTTCATCCTCTGGGGAATATGAATGTCTGTACAAAATTTCACAGTAATCCATCCAACAGTTGTTGAGCTATGTTAGCCTTGATTAAACTGTAAACCGACTGACATTGCCATCCATAGAACCGCACTGTTAACATGGCTAAAACACAAAAGCCACAAATATGAAGAGGTTACTGTACACAACCAAATCCAAGCAGTTCAGTGATATCGTGATAAGCAAGGCATATCCTGAATCAGTTCAGTAAATACAGGAATTTAAATTGGGCTGTTTATTACAGTAAATGTTGTGTCAGAAACCTAACCTAACCTAAAATCCTTACAACTAACACTGTTTCCAACTGGGCTCCGTTAGCGATGTGTCATTAAGCAATAACAGGTAACTGAATCATGATTGTCTCTGACAGTGATCAAGTCCCAAATGCTCTTGCAGCAGCGATTCTGATAACACCCGGAAGTCTGAAGGGAGCTCAGGGAGAAATTAGATGAATGTCAAACAGCTGGTGTTCGATAAGGAAGGGAAAGCCTACAGTACTGTGTTCTGCATAGCCTGACACCAAATATTTAGACCAAGCATCATGGGAAGAGGCATTTTAGAAATGCAAGAACAGATGCCAGGAGAAGGCGGCTATAGGTCAGTCACCTAGTGATGCAGTTTGTC